TAGTGAAAGAACATGTACTCACTATGAATCCTGACTTTAGATCAAAGCAACCTTGATATTATCATAAAAATTACAGGCCGTGATGCACATAGTTTTCTTGCCTTTTCTGAGGGGTTGCCTTTCATTGTCTCTAGAGCACATACCTCCTTTCCCCATAGCATGTGAGCCCCGGGTCTGCGTAGTAGTGGGGCGGAGTTCTGTTTGTCTGTGGCCACCCAAGACCATGCTTCTATCTATAAGTTCCCCAGTAAATCACCTCCTACTGACAAACGGATTTGCCTTGTTCTTTGGTTTCTCAGCTTCTTCTGTGTTTAGGGGTCACTTTGCATAGGCAGCCCTTTCACAGAACAAGTCCCCACCCTAACTACTATACTGGAGAAATTCAGTAAACGTAACACCCTTCTCCCCACCCCCTTAGTAGCAATGCATCTCTTCCCTGTGTCCTGGGAGAATCATGTTTATTATTATTATTATTATTATTACTTTTTGAGAGGGAGTCTCACTCTATCACTCAGGCTGCAGTGTAGTGGCATGATCTCGGCTCACTGCAACCTCCACCTCCTGGATTCAAGTGATGCTCCTGCCTCAGCCTTCCAAGTAGCTGGGACTATAGGCGCACACCACCATGCCCAGCTAATTTTTGTATTTTTAGTAGAGATGGGATTTCACCATGCTGGCCAGGCTGGTCTTGAACTCCTGACCTCGTGATCTACACGCGTCAGCCTCCCAAAGTGCTGGGATTACAGGCATGAGTCACTGCGCCCGGCCCAAGAACCATGTATCTTTACCTGGACCCTGGGAGTGAGGAGTTTTGTTCCCCTCTGCCAGCAACCTAAGGCTGTTGTTGTAAAGGAGAGAAGGCATCTGAAGAAGAGGAGGCTTTGTATTCATCTCGTGGAAGCCAGTCACCTCCTTCACCCGTGCTCCAGTAAGGAGTGGTAATCTCCAATGTCCTCCCCTGCTCCCAGTTTTTCGCACAAGCATCCACTGGAGAGCTGTGGGAAAGAGCTTACAAGTGGGAGTGATGAGCCCTTGTAGTTGGGATCCCCAGATATTCCACACTGACACATTATCCCAAGTTTTGCCATTAACAATTTGCTAAAACTTTACTTGTTTTCTTCTTATCTGTTTGTATGGTGACCACCAGTGTCAGCCACGTTCTGCCAAAGATGAAACAGTGGATCTGCCCTGTTTCCCCTTGCAGAAATTTGTTCCTTTTTAGAGTTTGGGTTAATTCATTGCCTTGTGACCTCAGTATTATGATATACTTAAGAAAAGTTACAATTTTGTTGATCGTCTAACTTTTTTCTCACTAAGATGGGTGTAACATTCTAACTTTCTATATCCCGAGTAGAAGTGCAAGCTCTTTAGGTTTGTTGTTGTTGCTTTTTTTTTTTTTGAGATGGAGTTTCCCTCTTATCACCCAGGCTGGAGTGCAATGGCATGATCTCAGCTCACTGCAACCCCCGCCTCCAGGGTTCAAGTGATTCTCCTGCCTCGGCCTCCTGAGTAGCTGGGACTACAGGCACCCGCCACCACGTCCAGCTAATTTTTGTATTTTTAGTAAAGATGGGGTTACGCCATGTTAGCCAGGATAGTCTCGATCTCTTGACCTCATTATCTGCCCACCTCAGCCTCCCAAAGTGCTGGGATTACAGGTGTGAGCCACCATGCCCAGCCTAATTTTTGTATTTTTAGTAGAGATGGGGTTTCACCATGTTGGCCAAGCTGGTCTTGAACTCCTGACCTCAGGTGATCCTCTGGCCTCGGCCTCCCATAGTGCTGGGATTACAGGTGTGAGCCACTGTGCCTAGCCTTTAGCTTTTTAATTTAATTTAATTAATATTTATTTATATATTTATTTATTTTGTGGAGATGGAGTCTCGCCCTGTCACTCAGGCTGGAGTGCAGTGGTGTGATCTCGGCTCACTGCAACCTCCACCTCTCAGGCTCAAGCAATTCTCCTGCCTCAGCCTCCCAACTAGCTGGCACTATAGGCGCATACCACCATGCTCGGCTAATTTTTGTATTTTAGTAGAGACGGGATTTTACCATGTTGGCCAGGGTGGTCTCAAACTCATGACCTCAGGTGATCCACCCATTTGGCCTCCCAAAGTGCTGGGATTAAGGTGTGAGCCACTGCGCCCAGCCTATTTTTAAATTTTCATTTATTTTTTTTGAGACGCACTCTTGCTCTGTCGCCCAGGCTGGAGTGCAGTGGCTTGATCTCAGCTCACTGCAAGCTCTGCCTCCCGGATTCATGCCATTCTCCTGCCTCAACCTGCCAATTATATGGGACTACAGGTGCCCGCCACCACAGCCAGCTAATTTTTTTGTATTTTTAGTAGAGATGGGGTTTCACTATGTTAGCCAGGATGGTCGCGATCTCCTGACCTGGTGATCCGCCTGCCTTGGCCTCCCAAAGTGCTGGGATTACAGGCGTGAGCCACCGCGCCGGGCCTCCTATTTTATTTTTTGAGACGGGGTCTCGCTCTATCGCCCAGGCTGGAGTGCAGTGGTGCAATCTCAGCTAACTGCAACCTCCACCTCCCAGGTTTAAGTGATCCTCCTGCCTAAGCCTCCTGAGTGCCTGGGATTACAGGCATGTGCCACCATGCCCAGCTAATTTTTGTATTTTTAGTAGAGATGGGATTTCACCACGTCGGCCAGGCTGGTCTGGAACTCCTGACCTCAGGTAATCCACCTGCTTCGGCTCCCAAAGTGCTGGGATTACAGGCATGACCCACTGTGCCCAGCCTCATTCCTGGTTTTTAGTTACTCTTATGGTTATTGGTTGATTAAAGTTTTAAATTCCTTCATAAGTCAGTTTTTCTAGAAAAATTATTCTCTATATCTTTTTTTTTTTTTTAGACAGAGTCTTGCTCTGTGGCCCAGGCTGGAGTGCAGTGGCAGGATCTTGGCTCACTGCAGCCTCCACCTCCCAGGCTCAAGCAATTCTCCCACCTCAACCCCCGAAGTGGAAGCACAGACACGTGCCACCGTGCACGGCTAACTTTTGTCTTTTTAGTAGAGATAGGTTTTCACCATGTTGGTCAGGCAGGTCTCAAACTCCTGACCTCATGATCCACCCACCTTGGCCTCCCAAAGTGCTGGGATTACAGGCGTGAGCCACCATGTCCGGCCTCTATTTTTTTTTTAGATGGAGTTTCGCTCTGTCACCCAGGCTGGAGTGTAGTGTCACAATCTCACCTCACTGCAACCTCTGCCTCCCAGGTTCAAGCAATTCTCCTGCCTCAGTCTCCCGCGTAGCTGGGATTACAGGTGCCCACCACATTTTTGTATTTTTGGTAGAGATGAGGGTTTCACCATATTGGCCAGGCTGGTCTTGAACTCCTTACCTCAAGTGATCCACCCGTGTCGGCCTCCCAAAGTACTGAGATTACAGGTGTGAGCCACCGCGCCCGCCCTATTCTATGTATCTGTATCTGTGCTGTCCAGTGTGATAGCCACTAACCATATGAGACTATTAACCACTTGGAATGTAACTAGTCCAAATTGCGATGTGACATATGTAAAATACACACTGGATTTTAATTTTTAAAAAAATGTTGATTACAAATTGAAATAATATTTTGGATATATTGGGTTAGATAAAATGTTATTAAAATCAATTTTACTTGATCATTTTTGCTTTTTAAAAATGTGATGACCGGGCACGGTGGCTCACGCCTGTAAATCCAGCACTCTGGGATGCCAAAGAGGGTGGATTGCTTGAGCCCAGAAGTTTGAGACCAGCCTGTGCAATATGGCAAAACCCCATGTCTAAAAAGAGTGCAAAAATTAGCTGGGTGTGGTGGCACGTGTCTGTGGTTCCAGCTACTTCAGGGGCTGAGGTGGGAAGATTGCTTGAGCCTGGGCGGTGGAGGCTACAGTGAGCAGTGATCGCCCCAATGCACTCCAGCCTGGGTGACAGGGTGAGACCCTGTCTCAAAAAGAAAAAGGCTGGGCACAGGGCTCACACCTGTAATCCCAGCACTTCAGGAGGCTGAGGCAGGCGGGTAACCTGAGGTTGGGAGCTTGAGACCAGCCTGACCAACATGGAGAAATCCCATCTCTACTAAAAACACAAATCTAGCTGGGTGTGGTGGCACATGCCTGTAATCCCAGCTACTCAGGAGGCTGAGGCAGGAGAATCGTTTGAACCTGGGAAGCGGAGGTTGAGGTGAGTTAAGGTTGTGCCATTGCACTCCAGCCTGGGTGATAAGAGTGAAACCCTGTCTCAAAAAAAAGAAAAAAAAAAAAAAGGAGGCAGGGTGCGGTGGCTCATACCTGTAATCCCAGCACTTTGGGAGGCCAAGACACGGGGATCACAAGGTCAGGAGATCGAGACCATCCTGGCCAACATGACGAAACCCTGTTTCTACTAAAAATACACAAAATTAGCCAGGCGTGTTGGCGGGCGCCTGTCACCTGTAGTCCCACATACTCAGGAGGCTGAGGCAGGAGAATGGTGTGAACCCGGGAGGTGGAGCTTGCAGTGAGCTGAGATTGCACCACTGCACTCCAGCCTGGGTGACAGAGCAAGACTCTGTCTCAAAAACAAAAAAAAAAAAGAAAGAAAGAAAGAAAGAAAACTTCCTCTGTTTGGCATTATTATACTGTAGTTATTCTAGGCTCTTTTAGTACTTTTCCATGTGTTTTTCAATTTTTCTTGTTTCTAATAAATGATTTAGGCTATAAATGCTCTGAAAACCACTTGGGCTGTGTAGCATTTTCCTGTGTAGCACATTCTCTCATTCGTTTCTCAACAGCCTGTGGATCTCTTTTAGAACTGATTGTATTTTAGTGACACACGGATAATCACATTACCAAGAGGTTTCGGACAACAGATATCTATCTACAGAATAGCTGGAAAAATTAAGAAGCAGCAATTTTAATTTTTGACTGTTTCCTCTGACGTGTTTACCTTTACTGCTGCCAGATCTCAGACACCCTATCCAACATTCTACTTCTGAGGCAGGATTCTGTATTCTATTTCTGGTTGCCAGAGCCTTCAGTTTACAGAGTCCTAAGATGAGACTGAAGAAAGGATCGTTTCTGTGGTACCTCTATCTGGACAAAATATACTGTTTATTATCCGTGAGAAACGTGAAGGCTTTGGCGGAATATTTTCACATTCTGGATGTGCACGGCAAGAACACCTTGAATGGTCAGTACTTTCAGACATGTCTCCTCTGGGTCCTTACCTGGGTTTTAGTTAATGTGCAGGAAAACTTGCAGAGCCAGAAACTATTTTGTTAGTACTTTTTTTTTTTTTTTGAGATGGAGTCTTGCTCTGTTACCCAGGCTGGAGTGCAGTGGCGCGATCTCAGCTCACTGCAATCTCCGATTCCAGGGTTCAAGCGATTCTCCTGCCTCAGCCTCCTGAGTAGCTGGGATTACAGGTGTCTGCCACCACGCCCGGCTAATTTTTTGTATTTTTAGTAGAGACGGGGGTTTCACCATGTTGGCCAGGCTGGTCTCGAACTCCTGACATCAAGTGATCCTCCCGCCTCAGCCTCCCAAAGTACTGGGATTACAGGTGTGAGCTACTGCACCTGGACTGTTAGTAAATATTTTATCTTCTAGTTGAAGCAAGAGAGAAGTTGCCAACTCAGAATTGACACTGGGGACAGTTCAGCTGGGAGGAGAAAATTGCAGACTCTGGTGGAATCCTGGCTCCACACCCATTATTCCTTGGTGATGTGGATAATACAACATCACCCTCTCTAAGTCTCATTTTCCTCATCTAGAGGTGAGGCTTCTCCTAATGGAGTCCATCTCATCGTTGGAAAATAAAGACGATAATGAGATAATGTGTGGCAAATGCTTAGCACAGTGTCTGACGCATCATAAGGACCTAATAAGTGTTTGTTATTATTCTAATTATTATTCCTGGGAGCTGAGCCCCGCTCAGGCACTAACTCTGGAGACCCCTCAGCAAGACTCTTCTTATCTGTCATAGGGGACGTTTGAATCTGATGAGCTGCAGGGTCCCTTCTACTCACTGGTACTTGTGAATGACCAAAAAAAAACAAAAACAAAAAAAAAAACTGCAGATCTCAGCCGTGCTTGTTGAGTTCACAAAATAATAGATGTCCAATTAAAACACTTTAGGTTATTTTCAGGACTGAGTAGAAATAAGGTATCCTATCCATTCACTCGTTCTGACCTCAGAGAGAGAAATGTCATTTGTGAGTAAGGGGCTCCTCAGTCATGATTTTAAGGAGCTCATTCAATTTTTAAAAACAATAAAAAGAGGACACCTTCTTTTTCTCTTTACATAGAGATTTACATACAGTGCGCTGCCAAAGCTTCGCAATAACCCTGCCCCAGATAAGACAGCTGCAGGGGACCCAGCGGTAAATAAAAGGCTGAGATGGAAATGCTGGGCGCTCTGCCTGCAAAGCCCACGCTGAGTCTTGCTGGGATGCTTGAGGAGTCTAAGCTCCCTGGTAACCAGATCACTCCCTGCTGATGCAACACCCAGGAGGTAATGCCATGCTCATGTCTTCTGGTCCCAGAGGGACTGGAGAGTGACCTGGAAGGGTGAAGGCACAGCCTTAATGTTTGCCTTCCTGTGGGAGAATGACTTAAGGCCTTGGAGACTTGGGTGAGCCAGAGTCCGCCAGTTTCAAAACAGTCTCTATTTATTTATTTATTTATTTATTTAATTTATTTATTTGGGACGGAGTCTCGCTCTGTTGCCCAGGCTGGAGTGCACTGGCCCAATCTTGGCTCATTGCAGCCTCCACCTCCCGAGTTCAAGCGATTCTCCCGCCTCAGCTTCCTGAGTAGCTGGGACTACGGCTGTGCACCACCACACCAGCTAATTTCTGTATTTTTAGTAAAGACGGGCAGGGTTTCACTATGTTGGCCAGGCTAGTCTTGAACTCTTGACGTCAAGTGATCCGCCCACCGCAGCCACCCAAAGTGCTGGGATTACAGGCGTGAGCCATCACACCTGGTCTCAAAACACTCTTTGTTAAGTAGCCACTAAGTTACACCTGGAAACATTTCTCAAGGAGCAACTACACAAACATCACTGTGTATACATGTGGTGTGTTGTTTCCAGGTGCTCGTATCCAGGGAGGTGTGGAGAAGGAACATCAAGAGGTGGTCAGAAGCCCCCAGATCATGACATTGTATTGTGACTACTGATTCACTGTGCCTTTAGCTGGCTGCAGTTGGGACTCCACATTACACAGATATGTTTTACGTATTCAGTGGAGACATTGGTTTTTTTGAGACCCAGTCTCGCTCTGTCGCCTAGGCGTGATCTTGCCTTACTGCAAGCTCCATCCCCTGGGTTCACGCCATTCTCCTGCCTCAGCCTCTGAGTAACTGGGACTACAGGCGACTGCCACCATGCCAGGCTAATTTTTTGCATTTTTAGTAGAGACAGGGTTTCACCATGTTAGCCAGGATGGCCTCGATCTTCTGACCTCGTGATCCACCCGCCTTGGCCTCCCAAAGTGCTGGGATTACAGGCGTGAGCCACCGCGCCCGGCCTTTTTTTTTTTGAGATGGAGTTTCACTCTTGTTGCTCAGGTTGGGGTGCGATGGCGCGATCTTGGCTCACTGCAACCTCCGCCTCCCGGGTTCCAGCGATTCTCCTGCCTCAGCCTCCTGAGTAGCTGGGATTACAGGCATGTGCCACCACATCTGGCTAATTTTGTATTTTTAGTAGAGATGGGGTTTCTCCATGTTGGTCAGGCTGGTCTCAAACTGCTGACCTCAGGTGATCCTCCTGCCTCGGCCTCCCAAAGTGTTGGGATTACAGGTGTGAGCCACCGCACCCGGCCAGTGGAGCCATTTCTTATGCAGGAGATAGTTTCTGTAATCAGTGAGTAAGGGGAAACACATGTAGATAAATGTAAAAATCCCTCATTACTGTGATTTGTACATACAACTGTAGACAGCCACACACCACTGTGTAAGTGTATTGCCATGTTTGTTTTTTTCATCTTTTATTCATGATTAATGAGTAGAATGGCAGGCAAAAACTTCTATGTACTCGGTATGCAACAAGATCTTGTAAATGAAAACAACAAAAAAGAAAACAAAAAACTTTCCAGTTTTTAAAGATTTTTTCAGTATTTTTTCTTCTGAACGTATATGAGTAAATATGCATTAACTAATGCACGAAAGAGCTTCACCGTGGAAAAAATACCACGGTCAGGCAAATCCACACTCGAATCCCAGCTCTGCCACTCACTATGTGAGGCACAACTTTTTTTTTTTTTTTTTGGAAACAAAGTTTCACTTTTATCGCCTAGGCTGGAGTGCAATGGCACAACCTTGGCTCACCACAACTTCTGCCTCCCGGGTTCAAACAATTCTCCTGCCTCAGCCTCCCGAGTAGCTGGGATTACAGGTATGTGCCACCATGCCTGGCTAATTTTGTATTTTTAGTAGAGACGGGTTTTCTCCATGAGGTCAGGCTGATCTCCTCCTGACCTCAGGTAATCCGCCTGCCTCAGCCTTCCAAAGTGCTAGGATTGCAGGCATGAGCCACTGTGCCCAGCATGAGGCACACCTTTGCTGTTCAATGTGTGGTCCTCAGATTAGCCGCAGCCACATCACCTAGGAGCTTGGAGAAATGGGCAGTCTCAAGTTCCATGCCAGATTTATTCAATCAGAATCTGTAGTTTCACAATATCCCCCAAGTGATTGGTATCCCCATTACAGTATGAGAAATGCTAATACACACTAATTGATATTTGAGACTTACTATAAAGGGTATTGTGTCTGGAGTTGGTTCCTTCTGGTGGGTTCAAGTGGTCTCCCTGACTTCAAGAATGAAGCTGCAGATGCTCGCAGTGAATGTTACAGCTCTTAAAGGTGGCACAGACCCAAAGAGTAAGCAGCAGCAAGATTTATTGTGAAGAGCAAAAGAAGAAAGCTCCCATAGCGTGGAAGGGGACCCAAGTGGGTTGCCGCTGCTGGCTGGGGTGGCCAGTTTTTATTCTGTTATTTGTCCCTGCCCACATCCTGCTAATTGGTCCATTTTACAGAGTGTTGATTGCTGCATTTACAATCCTTTAGCTAGACACAGAGTGCTGATTGGTGCATTTTTACAGAGTGCTGATTGGTGTATTTACAATCCTTTAGCTAGACATAGAGTGCTCATTGGTGTTTTTTTACACAATGTTGATTGGTACATCTACAATCCTTTAGCTAGACACAGAGTGCTGATTGGTGTGATTTTACAATCCTCTTGTAAGACAGAAAAGTTCTCCAAGTCCCCCACTCGACTCAGGAAGTCCAGTTGGCTTCACCTCTCAGTATGATGCCACTTTCTCTGTAGTGTTATCAGGATTTAGTGAAATGTGGCATTTAAAGTGCCTAACATGGCTGGGTGCACTGGCTTACACACACACATATATATTATTTTATATATATATTATTTTATATATATATTATTTTATATAAATATAATCTCAGCAGTTTGGGAGGCAGCGGCAGGTGGACTGCTTGAGCCCAGGAGTTCGAGACCAGTCTGGGCAACATAAGGAGACCCCATGTCTACAAAAAATTAAAAAATTACCTGGACATGGTGGCATGCACCTGTGGTCCCAGCTACTTGGGAGGCTGGGGTGGGAGGATCATTTGAGCCTGGGAGGTTGAGGCTGCAGTGAGCTATGAATGTGCCATTGCACTCCAGCCAAAAAATAAATAAAGTGCCTAACACATAAGGTGGTAAATAAGGTTTGTTCCCTTCCCCCTACAGCCAAATGCATTTGCTTTATACAAGCATGAGGCATATCAAGGCGTTTATAGATGGGGAATGACTTTTGTTGTTTTTGAGACAGAGTCTTGCTCTGTTGCTCAGACTGGAGTGCGGTAGCACAATCTCGGCTCACTGCAACCTCTGCCTCCTGGGTTCAAGCAATTCTTCTGCCTCAGCCTTCTGAGTAGCTGGTACTACAGGTGTGTGCCACCACGCCTGGCTAATTTTTGTATTTTTAATGGAGACAGGGTTTCCCCATATTGGCTAGGCTGGTCTCGAACTCCTGACCTCATGATTCACCTGCCTTGGCCTCCCAAAGTGCTGGGATTACAGGCATGAGCCACTGTGCCTGGCCGAGGGGGAATGATTTTTTTATTCCTCATTTTAATTATCTCAAGGGAAAGGCTCAGGAAAAACATCAGCATCTCCAAGAAAGTGTTCTCAGTCCCCAGTGAGAATTAAGCTCTCCCTTTCATACATGAGGAGCACTTTGTGCCCGTTTTATATGTTAGCACCTTGCCTTTTATTAGTGCTGTGTGCACATCTGTCTGCTCCATGCAGTGTGTGAGCTTCGGGCAGGAGCCAAGACCGTCCACGATCTCATTCTCCACAACTCCAGGTCCAGTGCTTTTCCACAAGCTCAAGGGTGATGAAGGTTTGAGGAATTGTAGAAAGTACAGTGGCAAAGCCAGAAACAAAATGTTCTCATCATTCTTCCTAGATCAACAAGCTTCCAACATCACTACCGTTTACGTGACTTCTAGCTGTTTAGCACTTTGGAGCTATATTCAAATAACACATCTCCTCACCTGTCCACCTTAACAGATGTGCTGTTCTATCACTTCCTTCATCATGTGACTGACTTGAAAAAGGCACAGATCAACATTGTGTTTGACATGCTGGACTGGAACGCTGTGGGCGAGATCGGCTTTGAGCAGTTCTACATGCTGGTGTGTATGCTGCTGGCCCACGAGGCAAGTAACCACACAGCTGCCACCATCCTCTTGCTGATGGGAGCACTGAATTAGGAATACATCAGTTTTCTTCCTTTCACTAAAAAGAGGAAGAAAAGATGGGTGGGGAAAATGAGTTTTGGTTCCCGAATGATTCAGGTTTTTCAACAGCCTCTCCCTGCTGCAGCCCCAGCCTCTTGGCCGCCCTCCTACTCTGCCCTTCCTCATAGAGGACAGATGTGGCCCATCGCGTCCCTTCTTGGCATTCTTTTCCTCACTCGCTCTAGCTGGTGATTTTCAGAGAATCACCAGCTAGCTCAAGCGCCTCACTCCTTCGGAGGTCTTTTCTTACCATATATACATTTCCAGTATGTACTTACCCAGGTCCTTTTTTTTTTTTTTTTTTTTTGAGACTGAGTCTCGATCTAGCCCAGGCCAGAGTGCAGTGGCGCGATCTCGGCTCACTGCAACCTCCACCATCTGGGTTCAATAGATCAAGTAGCTGGGACTACAGGTGCACACCCCCCCACTCCTGGCTAATTTTTTGTATTTTTAGTAGAGATGGGGTTTCACCATATTGGCCAGGCTGGTCTCAAAGTCCTGACCTCAAGTGCTCTGCCCGCCTCGAGCCTCCTGAAGTGCTGGGATTATAGGTGTGAGCCACCGCACCCGGCCTCAGTTCCTGTTTTTTTGAGGGAAGGAGGTCATCATTTTATCACCCATGCCACGATGTTTCACAAGACTTTCACTGAACGTAAGGAAATGCATTATAGTAACCAGAGTTCTGTCTAGCAGAATGGATCATTACAGGTGGCAGAATTCAAGTTCCTTTTGAATGCAGACGCCGAAGTGAGACTTCCTGCATCGATGATAGAACCCTTTCAGCCCTGAGCTTCTGATTTTCTCTTTTGCTTTTAGCTCTCTAGGGAAGGGGCTGGTGAAGATACGTCTTGAGGAAACAAGTTAGAAAGCAGCGTTGACAACACTGTTGCTCATCTCACCTATTTCTCTTGCACTAGAACCATCTGGAAGGACAGTTTATGTACCGTCATTCCCGGCCTGTCTTTGACTTGCTTGACCTGAAAGGGGATCTGAGAATCGGTGCAAAAAACTTTGGAATGTACAGATTTCTCTTCAATATTCACAAACAGGAACTCAAAGATCTCTTCCATGACTTTGACGTTACAGGTGACAATGTAAGTACAGATCCAAAATGTGGCATCTGTGTGGCAGTCCCTTTCCTTCCATAAGCAGAGAAAAATGTCTTACTACATATAGGAGAGATGGGAGAGGAGGAGGGCGGGAAAAACCTACTCAAATAAGCATATTGCATGGCACTAGGATCAGAAAAAAACTTAAGACTTATGGGCCCTTGAAGAGAAAGGGTGGACTAACTGCTATATCATGGCCAGGCTCGGGGGCTCATGCCTATAATCCCAGGACTTTGGGAGGCCGAAGCGGGAAGATCACCTGAGGACAGGAGTTTGAGACTAGCCTGGTCAACATTGTGAAACCCTGTCTCTACTAAAAATACAAAAATACAAAAATTGGCTGGGCGTGGTGGCTTACGCCTATAATCCCAGAATTGGGAGGCTGAGGTGGGTGGATCACCTGAGGCCAGGAGTTTGAGACCAGCCTGATCAATACGGAGAAACCCCATCCCTACTAAAAATACAAAATTAGCTGGGCGTGGTGGCACATGCCTGTAATCCCAGATACTTAGGAGGCTGAGGCAGGAGAATCGCTTGAACCCGGGAGGCAGAGGCTGCGGTGAGCCAAGATCATGCCATTGTACTCCAGCCTGGGCAACAAGAGGGAAACTCTGACTTAAAAACAACAACTACAACAAAAATTAGCCGGGCGTGGTGGCAGGCGCCTGTAATCCCAGCTACTCGGGAGGCTGAGGCAGAAGAATCACTTGAATCCGGGAGGTGGCGGTTGCAGTGAGTCGTGATCACACCACTGCACTCTAGCCTAGGGGACACAGGGAGACTCTGTCTCAACAAACAAACCAACAAAAAATGCTACATCATATAATGTGGATACAAAATTATACTTTAGAGGAAATTTAATAATATGGTAGTAGTTTGGTGTTGGGGGAAGAGTTTGTAGATTTGAATTAAACAGGAAGAGATGATATGATGAATGAGAGCATGTGAGCATAATCCTAAGGGCTGGGCACTGTTGTGCACACCTGTAGTCACAGCTCCTTGGGAGGCTGAGAAGGGAGGATCGCTTGAGCCCAGGAGTTCCAGGCCAGCCTGGGCAGCATAGTGAGATCCTGTCTCAAAAAAAAAATTCCTAAGAGAAAGCTATGGTGAAGAGAGTTAATTCTGCCTATTTAAAGAGGAAATCCACATTGGGGAAACAAGTGGCAGCTAAGGTTGAAAACAATGATCACACTGTGAACAACCTTAGATGCCAGCCTGAAACCTCTGGACTTGACATGGTAAAGGTCGGTGAAAAAAGTCATCGGGGTTTTTGCCACTGAAAGCTGGCAGGCTGGGGCCAGGTGCGGTGGCTCGCGCCTGTAATCCCAGCACTTTGGGAGGCTGAGGCCGGTGGATTATGAGGTCAGGAGATCGAGACCATCCTGGCTAACACAGTGAAACCCCGTCTCTACTAAAAATACAAAAAAATTAGCTGGGCGTGGTGGCGGGCGCCTGCAGTTCCAGCTTCTCTGGAGGCTGAGTCAGGAGAATGGTGTGAACCTGGGAGGCGGAGCTTGTGGTGAGCAGAGATGGCGCCACTGCACTCCAGCCTGGGCATCAGAGCAAGACTCTGTGTTAAAAAAAAAAAGTAATGGCAAAAGCTGCAATTACTTTTGCCTTTTGTACCAACCTAATAGAAGAAAGTGACCTTTGTGCTGGGCACCATGGCTCATGACTGTAATCCCAACACTTTGGGAGGCAGGGGTGGGCGGATCACTTGAGGCCAGGAGTTCGAGATCAGCCTGGCCAACATGGTGAAACGCTGTCTCTACTAAAAATGTAAGAATTAGCCAGGTGTGGTGGCACATGCTTGTAAACCCAGTTACTCAGGAGGCTGAGATGGGAGAATTGCTTGAACCAGGGAGGCGGAGGTTGCAGTGAACTAAGATCACACCACTGCACTCCAGCTTGGGTGACCAAGTGAGACACCGTCTCAAAAAAAAAAAAGAGGCTGGGTGAAGTGGTTTACGCCTGTAATCCGAGCACTTTGGGAGGCTGAGGCGGGCGGGTCATGAGGTCAGGAGTTTGAGACCAGCCTGACCAACATGGTGAAACCTCGTCTCTACTAAAAATACAAAAATTAGCCAGGTGTGGTGGTGTGCATCTGTAATCCCAGCTACTCAGGAGGCTGAGGCAGGGGAATCACTTGAACCTGGGAGGCGGAGGTTGCAGTGAGCCGAGATAGCACCATTGCACTCCAACCTGGGCGACAGAGAGGGATTCCGTCTCAAAAAAAAAAGTGACCCTTGTTCCTTTCGCATCTACAATAGACTATTCCTGGGTACTCGACTACAATCAGACTATAATTATGTCCCAATTACCGAGTGTCTTTAATTTTCCAAGTTTTAAAAACAAAAATGAATACAATCCTGCTATCATCTGAAACAAAGTATCAAGTTTTTCCTGAAATAATTTTTCTTTTTTCCCCCCCAACCCAAAGCTTCTTAATTATCAGGAATTTAAGCTGTATACAATCATCTACATTGACAAATTACAGAGGAGGCAGAAAACAGAGGAGAAAGAAAAAGAAGACGGAAAAAGTAGAGAGAACGAGAAGTCTCTACTCGAAAAGAAAATGTCACATGAAGTAGATGTAAGCCGAAAGAGTCTCTTGGAAAAAAATGGGATCTGAAAGTACAGAACATGAACATTGATGAAGACTGGTAATATGTCTAAAAATAAATTCAGAGCATCAAAGTGGATATCTTTATAATGATTTTTTTTTTTTTTTTTTTGAGACATAGTCTTGCTGTATCGCCCAGGTTATAGTGCAGTGGCATGATCTGGACTCACTGCAACCTCTGCCTCCTGGGTTCAAGTGATTCTCATGTCTCAGTCTCCCGAGTAGCTGGGATTACCACCATACCCAGCTAATTTTTTGTATTTTTAGTAGAGATGGGGTTTCACCATGTTGCCCAGGCTGGTCTCAAATTCCTGACCTCAAGTTATCTACCCACCTTACCTCCCAAAGTGCTGGGATTACAGGTGTGAGCACTGTGCCCAGCCAAGTTCTGAATTTTAATAACCTCGTGACCTCACACAGAACTCACAATAATGTAATGTGGAATAACCACTTTCATATTGTTGACATGTCTCAATTCTGCTGCTGCTTTTCAGATCAACCCTGATCAATAGCTTCCTCTGTATTCAACTAATTGCTAACACAACATAGTGGAGCCAGGTAGGTGAAAGAAGGTGCAGCTTTCCTGATATTGGTCATTAGTGGTCCAACAGCCTCCTACTTCTTAGGCTAAGGCCACTTAGGTGCCTGAGATTTCAAATTAGCCAATGGTGAAGTGCTCCAACCACACAGTAGTTGACATTTAAGGATATGGAGGCTATGTTCTTCTTAGAATCTTAATTATTCTCAGTTAAGTACTTAAACAAGTGTACCAAATTTACTATGGTAAAATAATAATAATTATTTTTTGAGACCAAGTCTCGCTCTGTCATCCAGGCTGGAGTGCAGTAGCGCAATCTCGGCTCACTGCAACCTCTGCCTTCCGGGTTCAAGCGATTCTCCCTGCCTCAGCCGCCCGAGTAGCTGGGACTACAGGCGCACACCACCATGCTCGGCTAATTTTCGTATTTTTAGTAGAGATGGGGTTTTACCATATTAGCCAGGTTGGTCTCAAACTCCTGACCTCGTGACTCGCCTGCCTCGGCCTTCCAAAGTGCTGGGATTACAGGCGTGAGCCATCGTGCCTGGCCCGGTAAAATAATTATTACATGCCCTTGCATAATTTTAATTTTTTGATGCCTTGAATAATTTAAAAATATTTTTTGGGATGGGACTTATGACTCCTCTCTACCCAACTGTACTGTAATGTTATTGATGACAGCTACCATATAATCATGTGCTTGCTATGGGTTAGGTAGTTCTTTAAATGCATGATTTATTCTTATGGCCCTATGAATTAGGTATTATTATCCTCAATGTGCAGATGAGAAAATTGAGACCTAGAAAGATTAAGGACCTTACATATAGCTCACAAGAGGGAGGACCAGGATTCAAATTCAAGGTCAATTAGATGCCTGTGCTTAGAGCCAGTATCTGAGTAGCTCATTTTAGTTTCAGCAGATTCAAGTTTTAAGCTGGGATTTCATTGGCTTGGAAATCTATTTTGCATAATGTTATTAATCACCACATCTCCTGCTACCATAAATTTCTCAGGAAAGAAGTTAAATACAGCTGAAAAAATAAATACAGCTTATTTACTATAAACCAAGGATTTCTTAAGGATACATTAAATAATATAACTGGCCTTAAGGAATTCCATGAGTTCCAAAGTACTTAACATCAAAAATAGAATTTAATTACGCTTTGTCAATGTGCAACAGACAAGAATACTGCCTATCTAAGATTGTCATTCGTAAGTTAAACTTGTAAATAACAGCAAATAATTACTCTCTCTATATTTAATAGACATGGGATTTTATTTCATGCTTTCAAGTGTGACAAATGCATGCAGCAGCCAAAACTTCTCTTCCCCACAATGGTCCAGAAAAACAAGCACAACTCAAGACCCCTGACCTCTGATACAGGGATAATGTGTGTATCTCACGAAATGGTGAAACACAAAAACATGCAAGGCATCGCACTACAGTGCTCTTCCCTTCCTTTGATTTGGTGGAGAGTTTGCAATTATTCTCCAAGGAGAAACTCTCTGGCAAGCAAGTATGGACACTACTACACCTACCCACTGTACTGAAAGATGAGCACTATCTGTTCAGAAAATGGCAGCTAGAGATTAGCCACAGTTCCAAAGTGCCTCTCTAAGCTCATCTTGGTATAAACCGTTTCTGCTTCTTGTGGCAGCCTCAATGGCTTTTGCCACCAGATAGCCTTGGGATCTAGGCATGGTTTTGGGAGAAGAAATTTCAGTGAGGTTTCAGGAAGGCTTCTCTCTCCTATCTTCCAGAGGGGCCCTGAGATATATAAAGGGTAACCATGGCCGGGTGTAGTGGCTCAAGCCTGTAACCCCACCACTTTGGGAGGCCGAGGTAGGTGGATCACTTGAGCTCAGGAGTTCGAGACTAGCCTGGGCAACATGGTGAGGCCCTGTCTCTATTAAAAACAAAACAAAAGGGTAACCATGGATATGTATTTTTTCAGATATGGTCTCCCAAGCAATGAAAATACTATACTCTTTATTGTTTCAGGATGGGGGCAGGGAGAAAAGATGGCCAAAGATAATAGGTACATACAGGTACTGATTTAGGATAATTTAAAACCACATCAAATGACTGAAGTTTCAGGAATGAGCAGTTTTATAAGTTTTCCCCTCCACTCTGGAAACCATTAGGGTGGCTATAAAAGGTATAATTAATCAACTATCAGTGTTTTATTTTATTTTATTTTTTTTGAGATGGAGTTTCGCTCTTGCTGGAGTGCAATGACGCAATCTCAGCTCACTGCAACCTTCACCTCCTAGTTCAAGCGATTCTCCTACTTCAGCCTCCTGAGCAGCTGGGATTACATGTGCCCGCCACCACGCCCAGCTAATGTTTGTATTTTTAGTAGAGACGGGGTTTCACCATGTTGGTCAGGCTAGTCTTGAACTCCTGACCTCAAGTGATCTGCCTGCCTCAGCCTCCCAAAGTGCTGGGATTACAGGTGAGTCACCGTGACCAGCCCAACTATCAGATTTTTAAAATGTTCTTCCTTTTAAGAGCATCTTCCTAAACTGGATGCTTCTAGAATGGTATCAGTAAACTGAGCATCTCTCTGAATTGCTCACACTGAAACTTAGTGTCAAAACGAAAATTCAAATGCACAATTTCAGTGATATTCTTTTGGGACTTAGTAGTATGATTTAAAAAACAAACTACTAATGTACACTTTAGGACTTTTTTTTTTTTTTTTTTTTGAGAGAGTCTCACTCTGTCGCCCAGGCTGGAGTGCAGTGGTGCCATCTTGGCTCACTGCAAGCTCCACCTCCCAGGTTCAGGCCATTCTCCTGACTCAGCCTCCTGAGTAGCTGGGACTACAGGCGCCTGCAACCACGCCCAGCCAATTTTTTTGTATTTTTAGTAGAGACGGGGTTTCACTGTGTTAGCCAGGATGGTCTCGATCTCCTGACCTCGTGATTCGCCTGCCTCGGCCTCCCAAAGTGCTGGAATTACAGGCATGAGCCACCGCGGCCGGCCACTTTAGGACTTTTTCATAATTACATTTTATGATAAAAAATTTTACATGTTTGTAGGTATGTGTTAGACGCTTCAATGTAAGTTTCACTATTTCCACAGTGAAATAGCCCATCAGATTATGCTTTTAAGGGTAGAGTTTACTAGACAATGTACATTTAGGTATGTTTTTGGATGGTACCAACACTCTGTATCATTACTATGTCACCGTTGCACTGAAATGTTTTGGTCAACCAAGTGTGTTCAGGTGGCCTCAGCCTTGGGGAGAGAGCAGCACCTGCAGAGGTAGAGGAATGCAGGCCTAATGGGAGGGAGGGCTTACCCAGCTACAGTTTCAGCCCAGGCCAACAGACTGGTTCCTCCACAATCTACATCCACTACAAAGAGGGAAGACATTTGGAGGAAGCTAACCATAAATAAAGTGAGATCATTTATTAGGTTGGTGCAAAGGGAACTGCAGTTTTTGCCACTGGCATTAAAAGCATTAAACGCAATGGCAAAACTGCAATCCCCTTTGCATCAACACAACATCTCCCACCAGTCCTTAGAGTTCACGTCTTATCATCTTAAGCCTCATACTAAAGACAATGATTAGAAAGAGACAAATGCACTGTGCTGACATCTGCTGAGTGGGACAGTTACCCACCTTCACAGCCTACAGAACCAGGAGGATCAGAGGAGCCACAAGAGGCCCAAACAGACATCACAGAAGATTGGCTATAGCAAGGGAGGCTATCAGCTTCATTCTTTCCGCTCCATAAGTAAAAACACTAAATTACAGTATTTGAGAGTTGGAGGTGGACACAATGTATATCTGCTAATTTGTTCAATTAATAAGACCATTAAAACACTATAGTGTCTTAAAAACTTGTCATAAGGATTTTTTTCACATTAATGGGGAAAAGATAGATAAAAGTTATTCAGTAAGTATTATCCAGAAAAGTGACGTAGCTATTTGAAAAAATACACGTGGATTGCTACCCTACTTCTTTCACCAAAATAAATTTCACATAACAATGAAACCAAAAAGGAAACACACGAGAAATATTTTTTAACCTTGGATTGGGGAAACATTTTTATAACCTCAGATTGGGGAAGATCTTTTGAGGTTAAGAAGAAAACCCAGAAGCTGTAAAATAAGAGACTGACAGATCTGACCACGAAAAACTTAAAATTTGCACACGGTAAATTCCACACAAACAAAAGACATGGCAACACATGATAGAAAAGAACTAATTTCCTGAATATAGAATGGGTACTCATAAGTCTTGAGAGTCAAGACCAAAATGCAATAGGAGTATGGGCAAACAGAACATTCACAGAAAAAAAAAAAAAAAAAGAAAAAAAAAGTGGCCTTAAAATACAGTAAAATGTGAAACTTCACTCATAAGGAAAATACAAAGCAAAACCACAGGACAAAGTTCTTATCAGATTGTCAAAGATC